TCGGGTGACGTTGGTAGACGCGAAAGGAAATCCAGTGGAAGGTCACGGATCGGCCATGGTCAACTTCTCGGGTTCGTTGTTCCACGCCGCTTGCTTCAAGTGCTCCAAATGCAGGTCTCCCATCGATTTCGAGAACAACGTGGTCTTGTTGGAGGAGGACGGCAAGGTGAGAGTGAGGTGAGGGTACCTCTCTTTTATTTGCTCGCCTTGTGAGAGAAGGGTTTTGCAAGACCCGATGACAGAAGGGTGGGTGTTGGTGGTTGTGAGGGCGGGTATGCAAGAGGCCATGGGGTTGAGAAGGGGAATGGGTGTGGGAATGCGACGGAGGCATGCACCTCGACAATGAAAGTTCCGAGCTCATAGGTTGTCTCTTCCTACGTTCAGGCACTCTGCGTAGATTGTGCTTACAAGTGCAAAGGTTGCGGGGAACCTATTCTGGTAGGATTTGCGGAACGACTTGGGGCTTGGGAGCCTGGCAGTCACTGATCAACGTTCCCATGAAATTGCAGGAGGAAGCCTTGACGACGGGGGATGACACGTACCATACGGATTGCTTTCGATGCGCTCAGTGCAACAATCCGATCGGGGATGGGTCGTTCGTCCATGTCGATGATGTGAGAACCCAGCAGTCTGCGCTATCAAACCCTCACGCAGACTGGGTGACGCCTCCTGTCTTGCAGAAACTCTGGTGTACGGACTGCGAGAGAAGCACACGGTCTGCGTCAGCGGACAGTCTCGACGATCTGCCGGAAGTACCTCCAAGGCCCACGGGAAGAGGACTCACCAAAGGTAGCTATCGTGGAATTCTGAAGATTCAGTGGTACGACATGGAAGATTGACGGCTGCAACGTCAGATGGCAGTGCAGCATCCTCCTTGGCTAGTATTTCTGGTATCACGCGTGATGAATACGTCTTGCAGCTCGAAAGGGAACTGGAAGACCGGAGTCGGCAGCTTTCGACCTCGGAAGCAAACATGGCTAAGTTTAAGGTTAGACCGTTTTGTGGTACGAGGGCATAGGCAGATACATGCTCACCTCGTTACACTTTACGAAAAGGCTACCAGCAAGAAGGCGGTCGAAGAGTTCCGGCAACTCGCGCAGGCTCAGGCTTCCGAGACGGCACGGAGACACGGGGCCGAGGCTCGCGTCATGGCACTTCAAGCTCAACTGGCCGAAGTCACGAGAGCCGAGACGCAACGTGCCCGGAGCGAAGCACAGCTGGAACGTTTGAGTCGCGAGGTTCAGTTTCTGCAAACGCAACGGGATGCCAGTCAGAAAGAAGTGACGGAACTGGAATCGAAGCGCCAGGCGCTTGCCCTGGAGCTTGGTGAACTTGCTGAAAATCGTGTAGGACGCGATGAAGCTGTGTATGTTCAATATCGAAGGGGATTTGGGTGGTTTTTAATCCTAACATGATTTCTTGTCATCAGATCCGCAACTGCATCCGAGATCGACTCGCGACGAGCAAACGAGCTATCCTACGATCTAGCGCAGATTAAGGAACGCTTCCGATCGGACGTTACCGCGCTCCAAACGCAACGGGAAGGGATGAGTAGAGAAGTAGCCGAGTTGCGGAGAGAGCGTGAAGCGCTACACGACGAGATGACCAATCTCCGCGAGGAGACGCGCAAGCTCGAGGTCAGCCGGCGCCACATTTCCGAAGACTTGATCCAGTCCGCAGAGCAGCTCGACGCCGCGCCGCGGACCGCGTATCCGGAGATGGAGGAGCTTGCCCGTACCGTCTCCATCGGAGACGCTCTGGGGTCGACTGGCGACGCCAAGAGGCTACCGCTGCCACCACCCCGCGCACCCTCGCGTCTCCTCGGTCCAAGGGAGGACGCCCGACGCGCATCCGAGACGAGTCGTCGTCTTACGGAACCTGCTCTGGACTTTTCCGCAACTTTTGCTGGCGCTGGCGCCGGCTCACCGGGTGGCCGACGCGATAAGTGGACAAAGGATTGGAAGACAAATTTGAAGGCCACGAAGACGAAGTTGAAGAACGCCATACCCCAGAAAGCTCTCGGACCACAGGGGCTAGATGGGGCTCCTGATGGTGGAGGCAGCGGGAATAGTTTACTCACGTATGGTGGGAACATGTTCAAGATTGGGGCCAAAAACAAGTCGGTTTCTAAAAGTGGTACGATCCCACCTTTGACTGGAAAGATATATATACGAGTGGGCTCTTACAAGCTTTGTTTACAGATGGAGACCTAACCCGCGCGGTTCCGCCAATCCCACCCAAGAACGACGACGTGCGACCGACCCACTCCTTCCAGCCTCACTCATACCGGTCCCCACGAAAATGCAATCTTTGCAACGACAAGCTGTGGGGTCGCGAATTACGCTGCGAAGGTACCTTTCTCCACCGTTTTCAAGATCGGGATGTCGCCGATTACTGATATTGGAGTGTTTAGGCTGCGGATATCACTGTCATAACAAGTGCGCGCCAAGTGTCATTGGGCAGTGCTTTGCATCCAACGGCGAGCCCACCTCTGTTCTTTTCACAGGTGCGCATGTCACCTTGTAAGAACTCGTGCAGTTCCATTTGCTGATGTCAGCGGCTTCATAGCTCCAACAGACGCGACACATCAAACATTCGGAATCCCGTTAGATAAACTGCTGGAACGTGAAGGTGGTACTGTACCCAAAATCGTCATCAAGTGCATTGCAGCAGTGGAATATCGAGGTATTACCGTCGTACGGGTCTCTACGAGCCTTCTAGTTTTTAGACTTCTGATTGAACACCGTTGCTCGCTTTAGGCATGTCGGCCGAAGGCATCTACCGCAAGTCGGGCCCGCTCACGCAGATCAACAAGATCCTTGCTGCCGTGGAACGCGGAGAGGACGTTGACTTGATGACCGAAACACACGACGTGGACATTACGGCGATCACGTCACTCTTGAAACAGTTCTTCCGTGACTTGCCAGACCCCCTCCTGACAACCACGCTTTATAGCGCGTGGACGGCCGTGTTCCGTACGTGTATTTCGAAGAAAGGGAAACGAAGGTGATCGGGGTACTGACCAGGAAACGATGGTTTTCTTGAACTTAGGGGGCTCTGACGACCCAGGAGCGACAATGACACAGGTGGTCGAACTTCTCAAACTCCTTCCGCCAAACAACTTGACGACGCTTGCTTATCTGGCCCTTCACCTCGATCGGTACGGGTAGTTTACGAGTTCTTTCTCTCGGTTGAGAGTGTACATCTTACTCTGTCTCCCCTGCCCCAGTATCCAACAACACAGCACGGAGAACCTCATGACGCCGACCAACATCGGGGTCGTATTTGGACCATCCTTACTCCGACCAGAAGAGCAGGAGACTCAATTGGATCTCGCAGAATCGTCCGCAAAGAACGCGGTCATCGAATTCCTCGTGCGCAATGCGAGGAAGCTCTTCGCTGCCGGTGAGGAGACGGAAGGCGCCCCGGCGGTCGACGGGGATGAAGAAGGGGAAGAGATTGAGGGTGATGAGGAAGACAGTTCAGGTGTGGACCGAACCGTGGAGGAGGACGTGGAGAAGGAAGGACAGACGGTGGACGGGGTTGCGGTAGATCGGATTTCGGAACCACGTTTGAGACCCAGGATGGGGTCGCCTACGACCCGGGTCAGCGAGAAGCCACCCGTGGTGGTCTTCAACGGCATAAACCTGCAACAATCATAAATATCATTTGTAGTTTTTCGTTTTGGGTGAACCCAGCCGGTTCTTCGAATGCCTTCAAGATAAGAACAGGGTCCGCATACGCGTCGCTCCCCATCTACGCCGCTCGCCGCCTCCATAGCGACAACTTCTCCCCGTACGGCGAGTTCGCCCGCTTCTTGAAGGTACGCCCCACTTCCTCCACGAACTCCTCCTCGAACGTCTCTCCCAGCAGCTCACGGTACACCTCGATGCTCAACGCCCACGGTGGTCCACCCTCGTGGTCCGACAGAGGGAACATGTACGCCACGAGGAACCCCTCCGGTCTCACCAATCCCGCCATCTTGTCGGCCCAGGCCTTCCTCTGTCCCGGAGGCAAAGCGCACAAGAACGTATGGTCGTACACCACGTCGAACGGCAGCCCACCCCCGTCGTAGGCAAAGAAGTCACCCGTCTCGAACCTCGCCAAGCGAGGATCCACTCCCCACTCGGTGCGCAACCGTTCCCCGGCCTCCGTCGCCCGAGACGTCACGTCGAGACCGACCACGGTCTCCCTGCCGGGCGTCGCGGCGAGTAGGAGCACGTCGTGCCCCTTTCCGCTCCCTGGCACGAGCGCCCGCCCGACGTTGAGCGTGGGGTACCGGTCGGAGGCGAGGAGGGTGGCGAGTGCCGGTGTGACCTCGTCCGTGGACCACCCGGCTTCCCAGCCTCCTTTCCAGGCGCCTTCCCAACCTTCTTTTCGGAGGACGGCTATCAGATGGAGGGGAGAGGGAGGGGGAGAAGGTGGAGTGAGTTGGCGCGGTGTGATGAGGCGGAGGCGGTTGGTCTGAACCAGGTACCTTGGAACTCTGCGTTGGGCATTGCTGGAAATTGGGAAGATGGTAGGGGAAGATGGAAGGGGAAGATCTCCATGGGGGCCGTCTGAGCGACGTGTGCGGTAGTCCGTCCATACCGGTAGTTGCGAGCATTCTTCTTCCGAACCACATGGCCAACATCAGTGGGGTTTCACGTTGGAATGGAAGTCACGGACCAGAGTCCTGCGGGAATCAGGATCAATGCTCACAAGAGACGAAGTTCATGGCTGTCTGAGCAAAATAACCAAAGTCTGAGAGGAGGTCCTCAATCTCCAGGTGGACGGACCCTCAAGGCAACGGGAACCGGTCAGTCAGCTTGTCATGAGAGAGGGAAGGGGCCCTTGAACGACAAAAAGTAGAAAAAAAACAAAGGCCCATCTGCATCCCTTATGAGGTTTCCGGGCTTTGGATCCGGCGTAGCTGCATTAACCCGTCGTCCTGTACTTCCCCGCCGACTGGCAGAGGACGTCTCGCCTGGGGCTCACTCAGTTTATCTGGTCCTAGTGCCAGACCCCCACGGGATTCGAACCCGTGTCTTCCAGTGTGAGCTGGAGCGTACTAACCACTGAGCCAGTGGTTCAGTTTCTTGTTGACAGAAGATGGCATGTGCGTTATAAGGGAAAGCCTCGTTTGTGCGCAGCTGACAGCGGGGTCTGCCGAACCCCGTGAATGTCCGACCCGTTCGGACATACGATCGGGAACCGTCCCCACCTTCACGTACCGGTACCCGGTAATAGTTGCACCTACAGTGTCCATTCAGAAAGAGAAGGGTCGACGAGGAGGTGGGGGACGACAAGCGGATCCCACATGAGCACGTTTGACGGCCGGATAAGACAGGTACGCATAAGTATGGCTCGATTGGTGATTGAAACTTCTCTCTGCCAGGACGGGTTTGGCTCATCCACCGCTTTTTTCCTGGCAGTATCCTACAATTTATATCGACAATTACGCTGCGAAGCAGGACACCAGGATCTTCCTGCTATCCCATTGCCATGCCGGTCGGTTTATTTTGGGTCAAACAGCGAGGGAACTCCCACGGTTTGCTAACCCGTTCCTGTTGCCCCCGACTAGATCACCTCTCGGGCCTCAAGAGTCCAAACTTCGACGTCCCTCTCTACTGCTCAAAGGAAACTGCCTACCTACTTCTGCGACTCCCTCACAAGCGACGAGCGACCAATGCTCAAGAGGAGCAGCCAAAGTACCTTCACCTCGCAAAGTACCTGCGACCCCTCGAATATGAGGAACCCTTGCAGGTCTACATCGGCAACGGCCAGACGGTGACACTGACGCTGTTTCCGGCGAATCATTGCGTCGGATCCACCATGTACGAGCAGGCCAACATGCTGGAATAAACGTGGGGGCCCACTGACCGATGGGTGCTAGGTTCTTGATAGAAGGACCGAACGGCAATGTCCTCTATACCGGTGACCTTCGGGCAGAAGCATGGTTCACGCAGGGAATACAGGAATATTTGGACCGAGACATCATTCCGCGCGATCTTGCCTGTGTTTATCTGGACACGACCTTTTGCTCGACAGATTTCTTTGCTTTTCCATCAAAGGTGTGTCATGCATCATGCGCTTACGCGATCCTGTGCTCATGAGTTCATCTCATTCAGAGAGAATCCATAGAATCTGTTATTCATATCATCAGGGGTTACCGGGACGACATGTTGTTCCATATAGGATACAACATATTCGGCGTAGAGACACTCTGGGAAGCGATAGCCCAAGAATTCCAGACCAAGGTACGTCCGTTCGTCTTCATCCAAAAGAACTGAATTTACTGATCGGCTTTCCGCCTTCCAGATCTACCTCTCCCCCCTCCGTTTTGCCGTCTACAGCGCCCTTCAGCCGTGCCCACCCTACATCACGAACGATCCGACCTCAACGCGGTTCCACGCTTGTCAAAAGTGCGACATTTGTCCACCGGCACGGTCATCAGGCGAGATCGTCCACATCCGACTGTCGACGATGGGATGGCGAGACGAACTGAGGACGGCAGGAACCGGTATCGATGCACGTCAGTTCCCATTGAAGCAGCTCGGCGAGCGATACTGGCACGTTCTGTACTCTATCCATTCGTCGTTCGAAGAGTTGAGCGATCTCGTGACCGTGTTGAGACCCAGAGAGGTCTTTCCTTGCGTCCTCAGCGCAGATCGACTTGATTCGAAGAGGGTGAAGGATCTTTTCACCCAGTTCTTGAGGCCGCCGTCGCCGGAGCATACCAGAGCGACGGCCATATTGGATGTGGAGGAACTGCTCGAGTCGTCGCAAGGCACGGACGTTGTTGATGAAGAAGGGATTTACGCCGTCAAAGCTGAAGATGTCAAAGGCGAGGACATGAAATCCGCGGATATCAAAGACGAGGACGGAAAAGCTAGGGATCCATCCGGGGAGCTCGAACCGCGATACATGAGGCGGGAGCGATCGATAGATAGCGTTGAAAACGAGCTGCAGGCAGCTTCAGCTGTCTCCAGTCTGAGTCTCCAAGACGCTCCCGTTCCGTGTCCGCACCCCATCGAAACCACGCACTCGAACGATCATCATGATGCAAACTTGACGAGCATTCCGGATCACCCACACTTTTCCGATGACGACTTCATTGAGATCGAGTCGGACACCACCTCGGAGAGCATCGACTTTGGCGTCGTGCACGACCATTCGGATTCAGATCCAGATCCCGGTATAATGAGCCAGCACCGGCAATCGGACATCCCAAAAACGTCTCAACGAGTCAATCGCTCCTTCGACCAGCATCCTTCCCCGGCATCGACAGTGCGTTCCGTCCGAACTCTTTCGCCCGTGGCGGTCGTCGACGATGTGATCCCTGTGTCGATACGATCTCCGTTGCAGCGACGAGCCACGTGGGTACCGGATGCGGTGCAGACCTTCGAAAAGCCTCGCTTGGTCAAATCCACCACGAATGTTCGATTGGCTGATCGCGCGCCTAGACGACTTCCCTCACATTGGACGCTGCCGGAGGTCATAGATTTGACGGAGGACTGATATCGTAGACTGCCCCTCTCTCGCATAAACCACCTCCAACTGCTCCTCCCTGACTCCTCCGACAGCGACCCTTGTAGCCAATCTGTTTCCAAGTTCAGGTATACTGGTGAAGCAGAAATAAATTGAAATGTGATGAAAGGACGGCTCCTGACTACCCAGGGGCCTTGCATGTTTCGTGTGCTATTCCTGATCAGGTTTAGCATATTCTCCGCCAATCTCTCGTCGTCCACCGAACGTGAGCCCACTCGCGTTGGCGCCCCCGTTGAACCCAAGCTGCTGCGACACAGACGAGGCATCGCCGGTCCCGACTCCCTGCTCCACGACCTGGCGTCGTCCGCCCCACGACTGCCCGGACTGAGAGGCTCCGCCCGCGAAGCCCATCTGCAATCCGATGACGTTGTTGCCGCTTCGCAGCTGTTCGTCGGTGAACGTGACCTCGTGCTTGTCGGCCAGCTTCGGGCCGAGCACCTGATCGGCCGGGAGGAGGCCGAGCTTGGCGGCGTGTCGGGAGAGGGAGAAGATGGTGTCGACGACCTGACCGGGGTTCTTGTCCTCGTAGAGATCGATGGTCTGGAAAGTGTCGTGGGGAGGGACCTCGAACTTTGAGCCCAGAGTCATCAGAAAGCTGTTTATGTTCTCCATCTGCTTGAAGGGCATCTTGGAGCTGTTGATCCTGACCGGTGAGTCGGGTGAGAGTGCGTTTACCAGCCTGCGAAAGGGGTAAAAAGAGGCGTCAGACGTGACGTTCCTCTAAAAACAGGCATCGAGAAAGCGGGAGCTCTGAAATGTTACTCACTTGCAGAGCAGCACTCCATCCTTCAAGCTCTCCTGGAACCCATCGAACGGAAAGACCTCTCCAGTGATGCTCTCGATCCAGTGGCGAGCGTCGTTTTCTCGTTCTGGATCGTACTTTGCGGCAGCTTTCGCCGCTGGAGACGGAAAGAAAGCATTCGAGTGTTGGCTTACGACACGACAACGGCCTGTGGAAGCATTTCGGTGCCCAAGGCAACGTACCAAGATCCCTGTCAAGACCTCCCATCACTTTGCCACTCATTTCGGGGGTGCGTTGTTTCTAGTGCTTTTGGAATTCGCGAAGCACAGATCACTCAAAAGGGCCAGTGAAGGGGTCGCTGTAGGCTAGCGGCGAGGCCTTTCACTCACGAGGAGGCCATCACGTCCGCAACCCTAACCGTTGCTGTTTTTGAGTGTTTGAATTATGCTTCTAACAAACTATTTCACGTCCACTACTCCAGGATTTTATGCCCTTGCAGGCATCTGCCCGCCACTGCTCTCGTTGAACGGCGGGTAGGTTTATGGAGTCTGTTCCAGGACTATATTCCACACTTCCTAATTGCGCGTGGGAGCCGTTGGCCCCGAACACCCTCGGCTGAGGTCACACAGAGTCCCCAGAGAGCCATATCCCAATACCGGTACTTTCACTCCCATCGTTACTGCGAGCGTGCCACCAACTCGACCGTTGCCGCCACGAACTCAATGTTTCTCTCGCGGCGGTAGGTAGTGCCTCGTCAAACTGGCTATACAGTACCCGCCTCAGGCTCGGACGACCGCTTTCAATCCACACCTCCCTTTCGCTCAACGCGAAATGGTTCCAGAGCGCCCACCGACCTTGATCGGCAACGTGGTCGACGAGACTGTCGACGCAATCAAAGCCGGCGACCTCGACATGCTGAGGCAGCTTGCTTTGCGATCGACGAGACTCGTCAGAGTCAATGCGCTGATCAAGGCCTTCAACTTCGGAACGGTCGAGGTCATCAGGACGGTCGCCGACGCATGGCCCGAACCCTTGCCTGCCGGCCACGAGTTCCGCTTGGCCGCCATGCACGGTCGCACCGACGCTTGGCACCTCTTCGATGCCAACGGTCGAGACCCAGTCAGAGACCTGGTCTGCGTGGGCGCAGGTTTCCGTGAAAAGCCGGCTTTGATGCTGGACTGGTGGCTGACGGTCGAGGCCGAGATCCCGAAGGACGACCCACTTCGCCGGACCGAGATGTATCTCGGACCCGAGAACCAGGCGTTGCCTTCGATCAACTCGCTGGCGCTCGGTCAGCTGATCGTCGAGGGGAGGACAGAACACGTTCACCGCTTTTGGACTGGATCAGTCCGCGACTCCGTGCAAGTGGCGAGATGCGTGCGCTCCGAATCGGTGGCATCCTGGGTCATCGATAACCTTCCTTTGGTGCGATCACCCAACCGGGGGGAAGATGCGCCATGCATCCTCCTAGACTTCTGCTTTGCCCGCGGTCTCGACAGTCAAGCTGATCGCCTTCGAGCCCGGTATCCGTTGACCGAGAAGTTCGTGGCGCGTACGGCTTTCGAGAATCGGCGACTGGACGTACTTGAGACTGTTCAGGACGGGGAGGTTGTTCTTCAAGCATACCATGACGGGAACCTTGCGCCCTCGGCTGCAGACCCTGATCAGTTCTTTGCGCGCTCCGTCGACCTCCTGCTGTCTAAGGGCTGTACGTCGGTTCAGATACGGGACGACGCCATTCAGCGATTTTGCTGGCCTCTCGTGCAGGAGCTTCTGAGAAGGTTTCCGGCTTTGAGGCAT